GCTGCTTACCACCGGCAACCCCACCTCCTCTTTTCGGCGGCATTTCCGAAAACCACCTAAAAACTGTCTGTGAGCACTGACTCAGACACGGAAGAAAAAATTCTCGAAAAAAGGCTCAAAAGGAGATGTTTTTAAGAAAAATAGAGAAAAAAGAAGAGCAGAAAAAAACGGGGGCACTAAGTGCAGAATACGGAAAACTAAAATGCGACCGATCGCTAGCTAGTCAGAAAGACGAATGTCTTGAAGGGTTGATTCCAATGTGGTGAACCCTTTTAGCGTTTATTAGTCGGAGGGTTTATGAAAGCTCAAAGGGTATATGAAGGGTACATAAAGGTTCATTATTCTACTATTTTACGGTAAAAGTATATCCTTCAACAGATGACGGTAGATTGCTATTAGCTTTCAAGATAGGGGTATTTTATTACTCGTTTTCGGGTTTAGTATTCTACTTTTTCGTTAAGAGGGTATATCACTCTGCCTTTCTGGGTATAGTGTGCTGCCCTTCTGAGAAACTGTTCATTATTCTACGCTTAAAGGTAGATTCTGTTACAATGTCCTGCGAAGGGTTCAGTATTCCACGTTTAACAGTTGATTCATCTGCCTCTTAACAAAACAGGTTTAGCATTGTACGTGAATGCTTTAATCTATACCTTTTCATGGACAAGGGCTTTTATTCTACCAACTGACATCGACTTATGTACCTTAGCACCTGCAGGGGTAGTTCCATCGTCGGTTGATGGTTGATTCTACTTCTTTTTTGTTGAGAGAAGTTCATTATTCACCGTATATGGGTTGATCTTTCCGCTCTTTCATCGAAAGCGTTTATCTTTCTACACATAGAGATTGATTGTTTTACTTCTTGGTTAGAAAGGTTTATTACTATACACACATGGGTTGATTCATCAGCCTCTTTGGTCAAAGAGTTTATTGTTCTACGTATAAGAGTTGATCCTAGCTCTCTTTCGATTAGAAGGTTTATTACTCTACATAAACCGTTGATTATTCTACCTCTTCGTCAAAAATGGTTTATTATCATACGTACAGAGGTTGATTCTTCCGCCACTGTGTTGGTAGGGTTTATTATTCTACACATAGAAGTTGATTCTTCTACTACTGGAGAGTATGGTAAATTCCTATTCCCAGGAAATTCAAAATGCACTACACACTATAATAAATTTGTAGCACGTAGATAAAGATGTGCATACAAACGATGTTTTTTGTTTAGGTTTTTATCAAGCCATATCATACATTTTAATATAATGTAAGAGTCGTTTATATATCAGTATCAATTCTGTCTATATCCATATGAATATGTATAGGTTGTATACAGATTTTGTGGGATGGGTTGGGACCAGTAATGATAAATACATATGCATAAAATACATTTTGTAGATGTATATATGAACTATATACTTCTAGCTGCAACTGATTGAATTAGATTAAAAAGGATACCGTCGGATTTCATCGTAAGTCTGCCACCCCCTTGTTTTTAATCTCAATAGGTTGTAAAGATGCAGCTTGAAATTTTGCATATTTCTGTTTATTTTGTTTGGTTCTAATTTTACGTTGTACAGCATTTTAGAACGTGCAAATAAACGATGAATTCCATCAACTTCCATGGAAGCTAAAAGAAAACAAATTGGTATTTTAGAAAAAATAAAATGAAACTGTACCGGATGAGCCGACATGATTTATTTCACATTGATGATTATTTTTAATTTCTGAATATTGTTTTGGATCTGAATATTTAATGCTCAGTAGACCTGTACAAATCAAACATTTTTTTGATAATCGTTCCAAATCTAACACCTACAAAATTCAAATGACGATGTATACGATATATTTTTAGTAAATGTGTACTTTTGCAGTAGGTCCATTAGATAAAACTTCTACGACTACATGTAAACTTGAAAAGCCACGCTTTTGCCATGTACCATCTCCGCTAACAGTAATTTTACGTTCATTTGATTTCTTGCAAGCTTCTTCGACAGCATTGTTCATTGGCCGAAGCTTGTATGATTCAAATGTTGGAAGTAAATAATCGATGGTATCCGAGAAATGATCTTCATTAGTGGGTATTGGTACGTTCAATATAGCACAGAGCTTTACGAAACCTTGATGACCAGTACCGGCAAAATTTGCACCTACATATTAGATCAAATTATCGATTACTAGAGTGTCGAGGATAAGCTTACCGATTGCACTTCGAACATTAATATCTCTTTTAGAAGTATTTAGACATTGTTTAGATGTATTGATATTAATTTCATGAGAGCAGCAACATGTAAACACCAAGAAACAATATAATCCTGAAATATAAATGTAATTATTCTGTTTTACTAGAGAGAAATTAGTTCAAACTGTACCTTCTCGTTTTGTAACAGACATATCACCATTACATATTAACTTACAGGAGACACAAATGGTTTGTTTCAGTAATTCCAACAAAAAGTAATTGTGAATTATTTGATAATAGTCGTTTACGTTATTATTATCATGTGTACTTGTTTGTTTGAGAAAGTTCGTTAGTTTCTGACATGATGAACCAGTAAATGAGAGTGCTTTGTACGTGAATTGCTCGTTGCTGGTTGACTGATCTTTATTAGAAATAAAATAATTTTGTAGTTCAAGTGTATTTTTTCTAACACTGGTAATGATTCTTCGTGATTTGGAAGTATTTCGAGTCAGTCGAAGCTGTTTCTCTTTTTTCAAAAACGAAGAACGTGTCATTGGAGATTTAAGATAATAAATCTAAAAATAAAGAATTCATAATGCTATGCCAACGAGATTGTGAGATGTGTACTCTGAAAAAAAAGGAGGTTTACAGAACCCTCCGAAAAGGATCTGCAGATTTTCAAAATGCTCCAAATGTGTTCAAAGTCTCAAAAAAAGGATAAAAATTTTGACAGAACCTTTTGAAGGTTCTGCGTTTTACCCAAGTGCAGAACCATCTCTTACAGAACCTTTTT